CCCCCTACATTGCTACATTGCTTGTTGACTTGAGGCCAAAATGCTTTCTAAGGAGAAAAGTTAAGGAAGTTTAATCAGGGTTTTGAAATTCAAACCCTAAAGAACCGGCCGGGCGCGGTGGCTCAAGCCTGTAATCCCAGCACTTTGGGAGGCCGAGGCGGGCGGATCACAAGGTCAGGAGATCGAGACCACAGTGAAACCCCGTCTCTACTAAAAAATACAAAAAAAAAAATTAGCCGGGCGCGGTGGCGGGCGCCTGTAGTCCCAGCTACTCAGGAGGCTGAGGCAGGAGAATGGCGGGAACCCGGGAGGCGGAGCTTGCAGTGAGACGAGATCGCGCCACTGCACTCCAGCCTGGGCAACAGCGTGAGACTCCGTCTCAAAAAAAAAAAAAAAAACAAACAAACCCTAAAGAACCTTGTAAATTTGATAGCAATCACCAAATTGCCCTCTAAAAAGGAAGTAGCACTTTATAATTCCATAAAGTTTTCTGACGTCTTTTGACAAAATTATATCTCATTCATTTTTTAATTTCAGCCAATCTTTTTTTTTTTTTTTTTTTTTTTTTTTTTTTGAGACAGAGTCTCACTCTGTCGCCCAGGCTGGAGTGCAGTGGCCGGATCTCCGCCTCCCGGGTTTACGCCATTCTCCTGCCTCAGTCTCCCAAGTAGCTGGGACTACAGGCGCCTGCCACCTCGCCCCGCTAGTTTTTTTGTATTTTTAGTAGAGACGGGGTTTCCCCATGTTAGCCAGGATGGTCTCGATCTCCTGACCTTGTGATCTGCCCGTCTGGGCCTCCCAAAGTGCTGGGATTACAGGCTTGAGCCACCACGCCCGGCATTTCAGCCAATCTTATTTCTCAATATTTTTTATTTTTAAAAGTAGTGTTATTATAAAAGGACATAAAGTTTTGCACATGCTTGTAAACTATTTGTATTTTTCTTTTCTTCTTTTTTTTTTTTTGAGGCGGAATCTCACTGTCGCCCAGGCTGGAGTACAGTGGCACGATCTTGGCTCACTGCAACCCCTGCCTCCCAGATTCAAACAATTCTCTTGCCTCAGCCTCCCTAGTACCTGGGATTACAGGTGCCTGCCATCGTGCCTGGCTAATTTTTGTATTTTTAGTAGAGACGGGGTTTCACCATGTTGGCCAGGCTGGTCTCAAACTCCTGACCTCAGGTGATCTGCCCGCCTCGGCCTCCCAAAGTGCTGGGATTACAGGCGTAAGCTACCATACCTGGCCCTTGTATTTATTGTATGAATTGCTTGTTTATGGCTTGTGTTCTATTTTAAAATAGGTTTTTTTGGGTACTGATCCATAGGCATTTTTTGTAACGTATTCTGGATGGTCTCCCTTTAAAAAAATAATACGTTGCACTTATTTTCTGTCCGTTGCCCTATTTACGGTTTCCACCATACAGAGGCTCTACATGTTCAGGAGTCTGTGATGAACCTGTCCCCAGTTCCACCATCCCACCTCCCCTCACCCTCCAGCCTGTGGTAAAAGAGACTGAGCAACTAAGACCCCTGAAACTTTGGCAAAACTGGCAGAACATAAGGACATCATCATTTATGAAGTTGCAAATAAGCTTTCTGGTAGACTTGACTTCCTTTTTTGTACAATCACAATAGTGGGAAAATCATCACTATGGATATTTACATATGCAAAAATGTAGCTGAGACTCTAGTCTGAAATAGAGATTTTGGAGAAGTATGACTCTGCTTACCGCAACTAAACTGCTTTTTGCTAATGTGATACATTTTCTACGCCGTGGACAGTCATAGCTCTAAGTCAGGATTTAGACTGCTTAGACACTGTGGCTTATTCTTTTGTTTTGAGACATAATCTCGCTTGTAGCTCAGGCTGGAGTGCAGGGGCACGATCTCAGCTCACTCCAGCCTCTGCCTCCCATCCTCAAGCGATTCTTCTGTCTCAGCCTCCTGAGTAGCTGGGATTAGAGGTGTGCGCCACCACGCCCGGCTAATTTTTTGTATTTTTAGTAGAGCCAGGGTTTCACCATGTTGGTCAGGCTGGTCTCGAACTCGTGACCTCGTGATCCACCCACCTCAGCCTCCCAAAGTGCTGGGATTACAGGCTTGAGCCACTGCGCCTGGTCCACTGTGGCTTATTCTCTTTGAGATGCACATGTTCTTTAAATAATTGCTTATAGGAGATAAAACTCCAAGACAGCCAGAAGATTGCACTGGCAGGATTTTCTCCTTGAGTTGAAGCAAGGATTGTATCTAAAAACCATTAGCTTGGTCAAGCTCGGTCATGAGTCAGATAGTGTTTAAAATTGAACTCGATGTTCTCTGACCAATGTGTCAAATTAAAAAAAAAAAATTGAACTCGACCTTGAAAACTATTTTTAAAAAGAAACCTTTGAACATCATGTACTGTAAAGGAAAAAAAATTTTTTTTAAAGTTTTAAAAATTATTCTAAGAGGATGTTATCAGAAAGTGGCCTTGTGTCACTTTATAGGTAGCTCCAGTCCTGGGGTTTACCTACTGTGATCTGATTGTCTTGCTGAGAGAACACCCTTATGAGTAGGTCTCTCCTACAAGGAGTAGACATTCTTGCCATCAATCATGGTAGAAAAGGCTGTACTTGGCACAGAACAGGAGAATTTAGAAGGCAGGCCCTACGATGGGGATGAGGAAGAAATACTTTGGTGTATTCTAGAGTACACATTTAGTGCTGAATGGCCTCCCATGGTAATGTGGGGGAACCTGGCCTTCACCTGTCACTGGTGTGCAGAGGCCACAGTCTATGAAACAACAGCATTTATTTCAAAGAGACTGTACCACTATAATAAAAAAACAAACCCAGCAAAACAGGGCCAGCCCTATATGTACACTGCCTGAAAATTATAATTTTAGGGACCTTTCAAAGACCTTGCATGTCCCAAGAGTCCTCCCCTCCTTTGTGGCTTTTCCCCTCCCAGCTTAGTAGAAGAAATCTTCTACCAAAAGGCTGAATTAAATATACATATATTGGGAAAGCATTTCTCCAAAACAATGACCAAAAACACTAACCCAGAGAGGACTAAAGACTTTTAATTACATCGCCCTACTTAAGCCTTTGTCAGTTTCCACAGGAATATAAAATATTTACATAATAGCAATCATGTGCCCATACAATAATATATCTTGAATTTTTAAAAATTAATGTTACACAGATCAAAAGCCCCTCCCATCACAGAGAGTTACATAGCAGTGATATCTCAGAAAGAACAATGATTTTGGCCTCGGGTGCTTTCCTTTGAGTCACAGCTCCCATGTAGGCAGTACAGCCCTAGACCACCTGACTCTGTTCCTTCCTTTCTACCATGACTGGCTTGCAGGGTGAGTGAGAGGAAAAGGTACAATGCATGGTGGGTGGCTGACTCATGGTGGGTGGCTGACTCATGGTGGGCAATGACTGGTAGTTAATATTTTTAGTGTTATTTTTAAAGTTAACATTTTACTTCCTGAATTGATGGTTTTGGGGGCAAGCACCGTGCCAAACCTTCTTTACAACAGATACTGCTTTAATCCTAATCACCCTTCAAGAAAAGCTGTATTATCTCACTTTACACCTGACACAAAAGAAGCCCACTGTGGTGATGCCACTTGCTCAAAGTCACACAGCAGGTCAGCAGAAGAGGCAGCTTTTGAACTAGGTTGGGGTCAACAGTAGTCACTACTGGCCACTACCACATAGGAAACACAAACATCACCTCAGAACAGCAGATAGCCTCTCTCCTTTGCACGTTACTTTGCAGATTCAAAAAGTCCGGAAGGCCAGGGTGGATGTGGTGAAATACAGTTTTGGGTTTTTTTTGAGATGGAGTCTCGCTCTGTCACCCAGGCTGGAGTGCAGTGGCACGATCTCGGCTCACTGCATGCTCCGCCTCCCAGGTTCACGCCATTCTCCTGCCTCAGCCTCCTGAGTAGCTGGGACTACAGGCGCCCGCCACCTCGCCCGGCTAATTTTTTTTTTGCATTTTTTAGTAGAGACGGGGTTTCACCACGTTAGCCAGGATGGTCTCCATCTCCTGACCTCATGATCCGACCGCCTTGGCCTCCTAAAGTGCTGAGATTACAGGCGTGAGCCACAGCGCCTGGCCCAGTTTTGGTTTTTAAGATCATGAAGAAGAGGTCAATGAAGAATCCAGGAGAAATTAAAAGAGCAAAGTAAACCTCAATACCAGTCAGTTCAGATAAATTCCCCCAAACTCTTTCACTATCCTGATGTCTCAAGAGCCACGTTTAAAATTACAAAATCTGTGTGGGTTATGTCAAAGGCAATCTGTAGAAAGGGCAAAGAATATGAATAATCTGAACCTGCTGAGATTTTTTTTTAGACAGAATCTCGCTCTGTCGCCCAAGCTGGAGCGCAATGGCGCCATCTCAGCGCACTACGACTGCCGCCTCCCTGAGTTCAAGTGATTCTTCTGCCTCAGCTTCCTGAGTAGCTGAGATTACAGGTGCGCAGCACCACGCCTGGCTAATTTTTGTATTTTAAGGAGAGACGGGGTTTCACCATGTTGGTCAGGCTGATCTGGAACTCCTGACCTCGTGATCCGCCCGCCTCAGCCTCCCAAAGTGCTGGGATTACAGGTGCGAGCCACCACGCCCCGCCGGTTTTTTTTTTTTTTTTTTTTTTTTTAAGTAAGATTGGGAAAATAACAAATGGTTCCTCCTAGGGCTGTTGTTACAATGAAGACAAATACCAGAGCACTTTGGGAGGTGGAGGCGAGTGGATCATTTGAGGTCAGGAGTTTGAAATCAGCCTGGCCAACACAGTGAAACCTCATCTCTACTAAAAATACAAAAACTAGCTGGGCGTGGTGGGGCGCGCCTGTAATCCCAGCTTCGGGAGGCTGAGGCAGGAGAATCGCTTGAGCTCGGAAGGCGGAGTTTGCAGTGAGCCAACATCATGCTACTGTACCCCAGCCTGGGTGACAAAGCGAGATTCTGTCTCAAAAAAAAAAAAAAAAAAAAAAAAGACAAATACCAGAAAATTCATCACAGATGAAGGACTTTGTTCCAGTTCGTGACACGTTGCCAACTTTGAATTACATCCAAGTCCGTGGGTCTTCTCTCTGGGGTCATTTGATCACACGTGATTACACTGCTCAGGGCCCAAAGGTTGGAGCTATGACCTGAATGTTTCTAGACAAGGAATTATTTGACAAACACATTATAAAAAGTAGTCAGAGCCATCCAAGTAAGAGGACATAAATAACGTAGGGTTTTTCCTATGGAGAGAAAAGAAAAGGCAAAAAGCACGTTCCACCTTCGTTCTCCCTAATTATCTCCTTCAAAAGATAAAAAGTACGAACACATTTGCCCTTGAAGGGCAGAGCCACGGAATTAAGGAGCTCTCTGAACACTCCGCCCCTTCTGATAGGGACCAAACCTTCTGCTGAGCCTTGTGTCACTGTCAGTCCGCGGCGCGACACGCCTCAGTATTTACTTTTGCCGCCTGCCAGCCCGGCGGGGAAGGGGAGTACCCGGCCACCCCTCACTTTAGCTCCTGCAGCTTTCCAAACAAACCAGGGCGGGATGGGAGTGTCTTCTTGGCTGTGGAAATCGATCCTCCTACCTTGTCCTGAAGCCACCCGCCGCCTTTCCTCGTCCCTCCCTTCGCGGTGATTTTCCGGTCCCGGCGCCCGGCGAGGGCGCGCGGCTGGTGTCCGCCCCGCCCGAAAGGTAGGGATTTGGCTGCGCTCCCGCCTCGCCCCCCTACCTCCCCTGGAATAGCGAGGCCCGCAACCTCCCACCACTTTGCACCTTCCTCCTCGAATTTGGGGGCGGCCGCGGCCACCGTGCAGCTGGCGCCAGCCGCGGAGCAGGAGGAGCTTCCCGCGACTCCGGAGGCGCTCAGCGCAGTCGCCCGGGATCCTGGCTGGCGGGAGCCTGAGAGTCCCGGCAGCGCTGCTCCCTCCTCTGCTCCCCCGCCGGATCCGGGGGGAAGGAATCGTGCCCGCGCCGCCCCTGGCCCGCGCCACCTTCCTCTGGTTTCCGCCGGCCTCGGGCTTCTGCGGCCCGATGCGGCAGGCGCCGCGAGAGAGGCAGCAGCCGGCTGGAGTGAGCGGCGCGGACGGGCTGAGAGCAGCGGCCCCCCAGGTCGCGGAGCCCGGCGCGCCTCTGTGGTCGCCGCTCCTGGGCCTCGGCGGGTCACTTTCGCCGGCCGGCTTCGCTGCGGGTTTGCATTGCCCGGGTGAGGGAGATTTTGGGTGCGGGGAGACCGCGTCCTGGGCCGGGGTCCGGGCGGCCTGGGGTCTGTGCTGCCTGGACCCTCCGGCTTTGCAGCCTCTGAGGCTCAGGGTTGGGGGTGGGGACACGGAGCGCTGTTTACCCCTCCACATACCCTGCCAGCACCAAGGAGGTGGCGTGCGGAGGCGTAAAGGGGCCATGAGCGCTGGGACCCGCGAGCCACCCGAGGTGCGCCGCAGCCACCGCCGAGAGGGCTCCCGGGAATCCTGGAGCCCCAGTGAAGGGCGGGAGGGGCGCGCAGCCTCGCGGGTAAGCCCAGGAGCCTTGGGGGCCGAGATAATCTGCTCTGGGACCCTCTTTTGTCCAATCGCCGGCGGGGTTGTGCAACTGGGAAGCCAAGAGGAGTGTCCAGCTCCTCGTTCACTATTGTTTTCTTGTAAAAGGGTCTGTACGCGAGGAGGGTTGAGGGGTCTGGAAGGTTCTGGTCTCTTACCGTATAAAGTTTTTCGAGAAACCCTTCTTCCCTCCACAGTAGAACTAGACCTAACAAAACAAGCAGCGAGGCAGCTTAGGAGAAAGGAGGACGGTGAGTAAATTGCAGTGTTTGGGCTGCTGTTAATTTTCAAGATAAGGGCGAAGCAACTTGTCATTTTGCGGCCGCCGGTTCCGGAGATCCCAGCAATCTCAAGCGTCTTTCTTGTGTGCTGTTATTTTGGCTTAAAAGAAAACCTATGAAAAGCGACAGCCCAGAAACCAAAAACAAACCCAAAGCACCTTCTTTGGGATTTTCAGTAGCGGGGGTTGGCGGGGGCGCTGGGGAGGAGCAGGCGGGGGAGAAGAGGTTGCCGTTGAAAGATGATGTTTAAAAACACTGTGTGGGGGTAGGGATGAAAATAACATGGTGACTGCTAGTGTATCCGAAATCACACCGATTCTAAACTCGCAAGTCCCATTTGCCTTACGAGGACCAGCTGGGTGCTATGAGTGGGTGGATAGTTAAGGAAACTGCAGCTCTGCTGGAAGCTCCTCGTGCTCTGTGGTCTGGTGTCCACGCTGACCTTTGAGCCTCATAACTCTTCGGGTCTCCAGGGGCCACCTCTTTTAGGCTAGCCCGAATGTTTGACTTTCGGGTCCTCAATCTTCCTCGCCTAGCTGCAGACCATAAAGCTGTCTTTTTATTTACAGGGAGATGTTAAATATTTGGGAAAATCTGCTCAGGCTGCCAGGTCATTTTCCGTTTGAAAGCATGCCGATTTGACTTTTGCAAGTTGGTTGTTGCTTCTTTGTTGTTTCACTAAGAACGCTTTTCATACCAAGATCTGCGAAAAAAGATGTTATTTAGTTTATTGTCTCTGAGTAACGCCAAATTCCAGAGGCTTTTTAGATAATGGCAACTTTGCTTATAAGAAGAGAATTTTTCTAGAAAGTGTTGCCTTGGTCTGGTTTCCTAAGTTCTCGTGGTCATGTAGACCGGGAGGGGAGATCTTCATTCCTTGTGATGTGAACTGTATTTTTACTATAGTTCCTCAAGTCCCAGATAGCACCATATGTTGTTTACATGGTGCGGTAAAATGGGACTGCAATTTTGACTACATTTCAGCAGATTTGTTGGAGATAGTTTGTTCTTATGCCCTAAATCAATTAAAAAAAAATAAAAACCTTTGAGGCTCAAGAATAGACAGCATTGACAGAAGAATACCATTAAGAGACATACCGTTTAAAAACCTCAGTCTGTCTCCTGTGAAATTGTAAATTGTAGGTGTTCTTATTCAGTGGCAGAGGACTGGATTTCACAGCTGTTTTCTTCTGTTGGAGACATTTCTGTGTTCCACATCATGTGGAACCTTATGGGAGAAGAAGTGAGTACTGCCATGTTTCCCACATTTCCCTGATAAGCATCATCTGCTAACCACGCAAACTGCCAGATGGCTTCCATGGAAATTGTGCTTCCATCCAGGTTTGGGGACCAGAGATCTGTTTAGCCTGCATTTTAGGTGATGCTTATTGAGAAGGTGAAGGAAGCATGGAACTCCTATTTGGCACCCACTCTGATTTTCGGTGTGTTTTCATATGCTATTTTATTTAATCTTCCTGACAAAACTCCTGCAAGAAAGGAATTTTTAGCCACATTTATAGCTTAAAAAACCAAGATTGCCTTAGGTTGAGTTGCAGTGGCTCACATAAAGGTCTGACTCTACCTCTGCCTACACCATCGCAGGCATCCTCTGTAGTATACATTATGCACACATTCTTCCATTTCCTGTGCATATCTTTCTCCTTTGCCTGGCATATCCTCAATTTATATATACCTTAGTCTGAATATACCTTTCTAGTTATCCCCAGGCTGGGCTTCTTGAATGGGTGGTCTGTGTATTTTGCCTTCCTTGTGACAACTTTAGACTTTCACCAGCCAGGTACCTTCTATCTTCTGCACATCTCTGATGTGCCACTTAGGTGAGCAGGGTCTGGCGAAATCTAGGAGTTTATGCTGTCTTCAATGGGCATATTCCAAAAGTCCTTTCCTTTCTGAATACACCTCAAGCTACATGTTACCTGGAAGACATTTTCCCAGGGTTACACCCCCACCCTCACAGTTGAAATGAAACATTCTCTCCTGTCTGTCCCAACTGTGATGGATAATGGCACACGTCACACATCACAGTTTCCAATTTAACCCTTAGGGGTTACCCACACCATTGTGGGGTAGCTGGAGTTCTTTCCCCTGATGGTGACACCTCAGTACTGAATTAGCTGCAGTGTCTCAGACTTGGTCAGGAACTTCACTGTCCCATAATCAGGCTAAGAAGTGCTGAGATTCTGGCAGTGAGGTTGTGAAAGTAAAAGATAACAGGATCGGCCGGGCGCGGTGGCTCACGCCTGTAATCCCAGCACTTTGGGAGGCCGAGGCGGGCGGATCACAAGGTCAGGAGATCGAGACCACGGTGAAACCCCGTCTCTACTAAAAATACAAAAAATTAGCCGGGCGCGGTGGCGGGCGCCTGTAGTCCCAGCTACTCAGGAGGCTGAGGCAGGAGAATGGCGGGAACCCGGGAGGCGGAGCTTGCAGTGAGCCGAGATCGCGCCACTGCACTCCAGCCTGGGCGACAGAGCGAGACTCCGTCTCAAAAAAAAAAAAAAAAACAAAACAAAAAAACAAAAAAAACAAGATAACAGGATCAGTAAGACCTGGTTTTCTTCCTTGTGCCCATGTTTCTTTTTCTTGGATAGATTTTGGTCATCGGGGGGGATTGTCCAGTTTACCTTTTTACTGCCAAAAACTTTCGTATCTGACCAGGGGCTTTCCTCTTTCTGGACCACTGAGAAAGAGGGAAAGGAAAGCACCTAGCCCATAGGAGATTTTCTTAAAAACATTGAAAAGCTGAGTGAAAAGTTACCTTCTCCCCCATTTTCTTTTTCCCCTTCTTATATGCTTGGCCTTAGACAAAGTATACAGATAGCATCATTGCATACTTTCCAATGTATTTAGTGCTGGGCTTTGAAAGATGTTTTAAACATTGATTTACTTTTTATTTGGTTGGGAATGGAAAGATCTTTAGGATATGATAAGAACAAGGCCCCCACATGAGGAGATGGCAAGGAAGCTGGAGATTCCTCCAGAGGCGGCAGGGTTATTCCCACCTTCCACACGTTGTGGAAACATGCCTGGAGTTCTTATGGCTGTGGGTCAGAGTCACTGTGCTGAAAGATGGGGGCAACAAGGGAGCAGAAAGTGTTTTTTTTCAGAGGACTTTGGGTGTTATTCCATGTGATCATTGAGGTGGGACTTCCCTAATGGTCAGCCTACATTTACTGAGTGTCCGCCATGTAACAAGAAGTGTTCTTGTGGCGGGGGGCGGGGGGGCTCTTACAGAGCATACGTTTTATGGGGACAGAGTCAATAAATAAGATACAAGTACATGAAACTGTATTTCAGATAGAATGAGTGTCACACAGACAGTACATTATGGAGGTGTGATCGAGAGGGGTATAGAGGAAGCTACTTTAGAGCAGTCAGAGAGCTTATCCGAGGAGGGGATATTTGAGCTGAGATGTGAATGATGAGAAGGAGCCAGGCAAGTGGAGCACAGAAGGTTAAGGGCATAGCAGATAGAGGTACCAGCACCTGCAAAGGCCCTGAGGCATGAGTGAATTTGGGTTGTTTGAGAAACAGAAGGTGCAGTGTGAGAAGAGAGTAGTTAAGACAACAGGTAGTGAAAAAAGAGTGCAAAAGAGGGAGTGGGAGGAGATGCCGTCAGTAAGATAGGAAGGCAGATTTTGTGAAATTTGAATTGTATTCTAATTAGAATGGGATGCCTGGAGATTTTTGATGAGAGCCTAATTCAGTCTTCACCCAGTGGTGATGGGCTTTCCTGTCTCTTCTTTTTCTTTGTTTTTGAGATGGAGTCTTGCTCTGTCGCCTAGGCTGGAGTGCAGTGGCTCTATCTCTGCTCACTGAAACCTCTGCCTCCTGAGTTTCAGTGATTCTCCTGTCTCAGCCTCCCAAGTAGCTGGGATTACAGGCACGCGCCACCATACCTGGCTATTTTTTTGTATATTTTTTAGTAGAGATGGGGTTTTGCCATGTTGGCCAGGCTGGTCTTGAACTCCTGAACTCAGGTGATCCACCCACTTCGGCCTCCTAAAGTGTTGTGATTACAGGTGTGAGCCACCATGCGCGGCCCTTTCCTGTCTCTGTCTCTGTTTCTCTCTCACACACACACACAAACACACAAATTTCTACTCATAGTTGCCTTTTTTTCTTCCCACAAATTGGCCATAACTGATTTCCCCTCTCTTTTCCCTAGGGCAGAGCACAGGAATATCACAAAGACAGGCAGGGCTCAGAGAAACCTGTACAGTATTCCTTTTATCCTCTTGTCCTTTGATTTCAGGATGTCTCATCATCACCACTCCATTAGTATCTAGGGAGGCTTGGCACAATTTTTAGAGAGAAAATTATTTTTGAGATTCTTTGGCCTATTGTTAACTTACATACTTAACTAGCATACAAAACAACTAACTTTTGGCTTTTCTGATTAACACAGTGGCATAAAACCTGAAACCTCAGGAGCCTGATCCCACATTCATTGATATCCAAGGGCTTAAAGTAAAAGGATGGAGAAAAGTCTGGCAAGCAAATGGAAAACAGAAAAAAGCAGAGATTGCTATTCTAATTTTAGACAAAACAGATTTTAAACCCACAAAGACGAAAAAAGACAAAGATAGTGATATGGTTTGAATCTGTGTCCCCACCCAAATCTCATATTCAATTGTAATCATCAGTGTTGGAGGTGGGGCCTGGTGGGAGGTAATTGGATCATGGGGGGCAGTTTCTAATGGTTTAACACCATCCTCGTGGGTGCTGTTCTTGTAATATTGAGTGAGTTCTCACAAGATCTGGTTGTTTAGCTGCCGCACCCCCACCCAGCCCCACCTTTCCTCCTACTCCAATTGTGTAAGATGTGCCTGCTTCCCCTTCACCTTTTGCCAGGAGGCTTCTGTAAGTTTCCTGAGGTCTCCCGGCCGTGCTTTCTGTACAGCCTGAAGAACCATGAGCCAATTAAACCTCTTTTCTTTGTATATTACCTAGTTTCAGGTATTTCTTTCTTCTTTTTTTTTAAATAGGGTCTCTGTTGAACCAGCTGGAGTGCAGTGGCACAATCATTATTCACTGAAGCCTCAACCTCATGGGCACAGGCAATCTTACCATATCAGCCTCCTAGGTAGCTGGGACTGCAGTACACACCGCCACACCCGGCTAATTTTTAAAAAAGTTATTTGTAGAGATGGGGTCTCACTGAGTTGCCCAGGCTAGTCTTGAACTTCTGGGCTCAAGCAATCCTCCTGCCTCGGCCTCCCAAAGTGTCGGGATTACAGGCATAAGCCTCTGTGCCCAAACGCAGGTATTTCTTTATAGCAGTGTGAGAATGAACTAATACAGAT